CTGGTATGGCCAGTTCCGAGTCACACGTGGGTTCAACATTGGGACCGCAAGCCTGATAGACGCGTCCAAAACCGCAGCTGATGGCTGAAAAAGTACACGAGATTAATTAGATTAGATTCTTTTTTTTTTACTATTTTCCCGTTTTACTTACGACATATCTCCAGATTTCGCCATCCATGCTCCAGCTTTATGCCCTTGAAGGCACACTCCTTGGCCAGCATGGCGATGGCATCGCAATTGCAGCTTTCCGGATGCTCCCGATTGGCACAATTGCAGTAGTCCGCCATGCAGGTGCGGATCAGGGCATCGTAGTTGAAGGGCTTAATGCAATCCCCGAGCTTCTCGTTGCCCAATAGACGCTCGCAGACGGAGACAGCTTTTTGGAGCTTCGATTGCTCACAGGAGTCAATGCCAAATTCTAGCTCAGCACTGTTTTCCACCTGGCACAAATCACTGTGATCCTCGACGCGCCAGGCATCTGCGAAGGCCTTTACAGTCGCCAACTTTTTGCCCGTTCTGGAGGACAAGTCCGTGTTGAAATCACCGTCCAAAGATCCGCATAGACCACCCACTTTTCCCCACATCTGGGGGCCAGCCTGCACGGCGACATACTGATGATGATCCCAATCCAGCTTCAGACCAACGGACTCCAGGTCGATCTGGACATGCTGGGCCACGGGCATGACCTTCATGCCCATAACCTGGACGGGCATGGGTAGTTTTTTTACGGGTGTGCTTAGCTGCATGGTACCATCTAGAAAGTGTTATGGTGTAAATTATTTTTAGTGCTCGATTTTGTTCATAAACTCTTACTTAGATTCTCGAAAGTGTACAGAACCGATTGCCACAGAATCTTTAGGGTGTGGGCGCAACCATAGCCGGAACCATAAGGACAAGCCTTAAGGATAATGTCAAAAGTACCCGAAACCTTGTCTGTAACCAGCGTGTGGGAACATGAAAGAGGAGCCCTGTGGGGAATATATGATTTGAAAAGTGCCAATTATTTAGTTTTATCACCTGCACTTACTTGAATACCAGGCCATCAAAGGTCTTCATGTTAATACCACCCCAAGTAGTACAAAGAGCCGGGCGCGGGGTCTTGTCAATAACGACTTCTAAATCGTTGCTCTGGTAGAGGGAATAACTACTGTGGGTGACAACCGTTTCTTCCGATGACCACCATTCCTAATTAAATCTTATTCAATTAGTATAAGTCGAGACCACTTTATGCACATTTACTATTTACTTACACTTCTTCTTTCCAGATCTCGATACTTCGCCAGCAAGGCCAAAAGCTTTTCCCGTTCGGTTTGGATTTCGTAAGACATTTCTCCACTCACTCCGTGTTGATAGATCCCTGTCTTATGCATTACACCATGCATGGATGATTTCGAGCGAATGGTATATCCAGGAGCTGCAATAATATTTTTTTTTTAAATAAATCTTTTTTTACTTAGTGAAAACTTTTATGAATGACAAACAGAATAACGCCGCGTAGCTTTAAGGGGTATATTCATACAAAAATAATTGAAACTTACGAAATATGCACTTTGGAATTGGTGCAGGGAGATACTGTCCTTTCTGATAGCTACACTTGTACTCAATGTCTATGCGACCTTCGATCTTTAATGCCGCTACCTGGGGGCAACTGAATGTGCAACGAGCCTCCTCCATTTCATAGGCACACTTATAGTTGCCATTAAAGTTTGTATTATTCACACTGCATGCATTAATATCTGTAGAAATATAATAATGAATTAAAAAGTTTTATATTAAAGAAAAAGAATACGAAATACAATTTCAACAAAGAGTAGTTCTCTACGAGTATTATTCGTCGAGTACCCAGTGTACTTATTTCCAAAAAACCTTTAGTTTATATACTAACTATATTGACAATTGGCTCCCCGGAACATCTTGGGGCATTCACAGACATTGAAGCTAATGCATTGTCCTCCGTTCTGGCAGGCGGGCGAACAAGTAGCTGAAAGATTAAGTTTAAATCAGAAGAGTCCCATTTTTTCAATGGCTCTACCCACGGGCGCAATCGGGGGCCTTGGCCAACCCCGTTTTGGTATGGACCCACTGGCCGTTGCGACATTCAATGTTGGTAATACCACTGCCATCTGGGAACTGGAATCCTCTCATGCATACGGCATTGCACATACTGAAATAAGGAAAAGGTTTTCGGCCCCATAGCGCATATAATCGTATAAGAACTCACTTATTCATGCAAGAGACTTTGGAGTTCTTTGGCGGACTTGGAAGGGAAGCACATACTGACTTCTTTTGCTGGCAGAAGGGTCCATAGAAATTCTCCGGACACTGGCAAACTCCTGCCGAGATGCATATACCATTGTTCTGACATCTGGGTTGGCATTGGGCCTGGCAGGGAGGCACCTCCGTGTATACAGAATTGCCTATGATCCATCCATCATTGCTGCAGAACAACTCCAGGAACTGTGTGTCCTGGCCGAAACTGTAGCCAGCTGGGCAGAAGACCTTGCAGCGCCCATTGTGACACTCGGACTGAACATTGGTGGGCAGCTGCATGGCCGAACACTTTCCAAAGGCTGCCAGAAACTGACCACCACCTCCGTAGAAATTTCCTGGATTTCTATGTAATACAGAAGATACGATAAACTAGGTTATATAACCTTTTCATGGCTGCTACTTACCCCTTCCCAATGCCAAACATTCCCAAGGTCTTGGTTAGAAATGCTCCACTGCAATAGATTGTTATTTTAAAGAAAGTTTACTCGATGGGCAGATTCTGCTTACCCAGCTCCAGCTGAATGAGACGTCTTTATAGCGCCGCCATAACCTGCGCTGCCACCATATCCTCCACTGCCAGGATATCCACCACTGCCACCATATCCTCCGCTGCCGGGATATCCTCCACTGCCGCCATATCCTCCACCTCCAGTGCCACCACCACCATAAGTGTATCTCGCACTATAACAAAACACAATTAATCCAGTTATATAATCCCCGCTGAACTTGGCGAATTATCGCCCTTTCTTCCGACTTATCATTACCTAACTGCGGGGGCTTGGAGGATGTTGAAGCTAATGTGGCGCTGGTCGCGTTCACTCTCCTTATCGACGGCTTCCGGTGCGGCCTGGACCAGCGGGCTAAATTTGCGAATAATATATGCATTTACTAAGGCACAAAGCTTATTTTTACACAGATAACAATATTAAATCTTTTCGTTTTTGTTTTTTAAAATTTATTTTTAGTTCCAAATCTCTCTGATTTTATATATATAAATATATTTATATATATTTGAGCAGTTAAGTTATAACGACATATTTAAAGGACTAGGATAAAAAGGATATTTAGAGGAAAGCATTTTGTTGGACCTCGCTAGATGTAAAATGCTAGTACTTATATTAATTAAAACCTAGGAGTTAAAATCAGTTTTGACCTAAACCATTCATTTAAAACTCTATAAAACGTTAATAAATCTAGGAAACGTTATTATTATGGTTGCTTTTAAAAAATAAGTTTACTACTTAACGAAGGCAAGGGTTGACATGATTTCCATTTTTTTAAAGTTTCTAGACTTCTTAACTCAAATTTAAAAATATTTTTTTTCTATGACTGTCTTGTACATAAATAAAATTAGTTATGAAAGGAGTTGAAATAATATCATTGTTTTTCTTCACTCAATTTATGTCAAAACTTTTCATTATTTTTAAACTTGTTAAAATTTTGTAAGGAGAAACAAAGATCACACTCCATTAGTAAAATTATTGTACGCGTGGCATTTTAGTAAGTTATTGAATGTAAATATGATTATAATAAATTTGGCAATCCACCATTTAACATTGCTTATCACATTAATTGATTCATTTCACATAATTTTCCACTTTCGGTTCCACTCACTTTATATCCTCGTCATCACTCATTATAATGTCTCCATCCTTGGCCCACACAGAGCACATAAATAGCAGCCACAAGGATAAAAAAATCACGTTGTTTGCCATTCTGATTGGCTAATAAGTACGTTTTATGCTCAATTTTTAATACAGGATTATCCTGTTAATAGTTAGCACTGGTAATCCATTACTGCCAGGACACTGCTGAGTTTTAGGTCCTTCCTAAAGATCTGGCTCCAGAGTATAAACACTTGTAGGCACTTTTCACTTTATATGTTATTATTTATATCCACTGAACTTGACGATTTCGAAGCGCGATCGCGACTAATGCTGCCAATGGATGGGGATCGCCTTTTATAGCCTGGTGGCCACGCTGTTTTATCAAACGACTCTGAAAAGTTAGGGTCAAGCCCACCACTTATCCAGAATCCGCAATTAAAAAAGCACCGTCTTCAGCTTATCGGCGTTGCTGTGCTTAAATTAGCATCGCGAATGTACCATAACTGTGCCAAGTTTATGCTGATGCCAATGCCTGGTTGATAGTGCCACTTCCGGGACCTATATATGTCATAACTATACGGAGGTTCGCATGGGGGGTAAGACTTTGCTGCCTTGGGGAAACCCAATCTAGTGTTACGTCGCCACTTAAATTATCTGGTCTAGCAGCAGCCTATGAATGAAATACGTACTACGCATAAGAATTCACAATATCATTGAACTTGAATGCTGGACTATAAAAAACTTAATTTAAGACAAGGCAAGTCTTTTGATTTGAATTCACAACGGACGGCGAGACCGTTAAATGTTATCGGTGCAAGCAGTTCAAGTTTGAGTAAGCAGTGCATATGTTTGCTATCTAGTTGAACAATAGGGGGCGCCACTGTGTCCACGTTTTTGGAGGAGCATAAAATTCGTTTTGGCCCATGGCCGTCAAAAAATCAAATAATTATGTTTAAAAACTGTAAATATAGTTTTTCAATGAAAATGTATTTTCCTAAAAGAACAAAATTAATAGATGCCCTAGGAATTTTGTAATAAAACGAACGTTTATTTTGATTTTTCTCTAAATCAAACAATTTACAATTCTCATATTAATTTGTTATATAGCTACCATATTAGAGTAAGTACTAGTTAATATTAAATATATTCTGATAATTAGAATTGTATATCCGTAACCACGAAAGTTAAATAAAGAATATTTTATACAAGTCACTTATTCTGTCAACTAACTTACCTTATTAATTATTATTGAGCGGTATTACTTTTTTAAAGGTACGTAAAACTCGTAAGTTCTTATATTAACCCATGGACAGTAAAAGTTTACACCAAATAATTTCTCATTTGCGGTGGACGGTCGACAGGATTGGGTTTTCCTGTGCCCAAATGGTGTTGTCTGTACAGGTCCCTCGGCTTAATGTACAGCTCTTTAAAATCCTCACTGCTGACATGCCGGCTAGCTGGTCCCAGATATATTCCTTCCAAACTGTGACTGGAATTTTCCCTGAGTTCCACCTCGGGTTCGTATATGTTTTCGATCAGAGTTTGTCGAGACTTCACCTTTTGAGCTCTCCTTTCCTGAGTGGGTTTCTTGAGTCTGGCCCGTTTTGAGGCCAGACCAGTGCAGCTCATGATAATTGCCAGCAGGACAGAGAACTCAATGAGTGCCAAAATTAGACTGCCACCAAGGAAGACGCTATACTGTTCCCGGTACCAGTTGTCCAGATGGGGAAGGCAGGACTCTGTGTTGCGCTCCCGTTCGTAGGATAATCGCTCTAGAGACTGGCACATGGACTCGTTGGCCGGTTTGGGATCCAGAAACGATAAGGGATGTTCCGAATTTTCCAGCACACAACAACTGAGTGGAACCGGCCAATTCCTTTGTCCATAGCCCTGCAATCGCCACAACGATGTGTCGTAGTCCAGGGAAGTCTTCATCCCGCAGCAGCCGAAACGTGCCTGTGCCAAATCCATGGCATTGGTGAACTGCTCCTGCCCAGGAACTCCATAGTTGACCTGCAAGGATCGCACCATTTGACTCTCGTCCAGGCTTATACCCAGGCAATGAGGCCATAATGTAATGGCCAGGCACAAAACCGATTCGGTCAAAAGCAGCACCACAACGCTCAGGAAATATATGGTCAGGAAACAGTAGGTGTGTAGACAGCTGGCCCAGAAACCCACGACCGCAGCCAGAGTGGCCACAAATCCGGCAATGGCCACGCCCAGGGCTATATAAAACAGCAAGGGCTGGGGAAGTGAGCTCAACCGATCGCTGGAGGCAGCCAAAAGTCTTGAGAGCAGAATGCGCTTGTTATCCGAAAAGATATACAAGCCTGATGCAATCAGCAGCAAGCCACATATCTAAAAAAAATAGTTAACATCAAATATGATTTACAGGATTCACGGGAGAAGGATTCCAAACGGAGGAACCAGTGAAACTTTCACTTCAACTCACCAAAAACAGAAAGTTACATAGATTGAGTACCAATTTATAATTAAAACAGCAGCCCATGTTTATATCAAAGCGGGCGTGGTCGTTTTTAAATAAATTAGAACCAAATATGTTATGACGAAATGCAATAATTGCGACATGGACAGCGATCAGTAAGGGCAGTGCACTGCATGCTCAATTATGTGGGTATGCATATACTCCAAAGCCTAAGCTTATAATACTTATTTAAACTCGCTTTTATTCGATCCGGCACCGTAGACAGTAAAATTTGAACTGAACTGTTGCGAGAGGCAACATTCTGTGGCAAGTTCAAAGCAGCGAAAGTAAGAGACCACAGAGAATACATTTATAACTCTCTACGAACACCTCTATGGGTTACTCTCATCGAAACTTTTCAAGCGTCTCGCTTAGCTTAGCAAAACAAAACTGAAAACACTGTCCATCCACCAAAAATTTTAAAACAGAGACTGGAAAAGAGAAACCCATAGATGGGGGCGCAATGTTCGTTACTCTTATTTGATCACTAGCACCATCTCCAGCCATATGGAACCGTTTTCAGACAATAGCACCCACGAGCAACAAAACAACTCCACCAGTTGAAGTTTTTTTAGACCTCGAAGTTGTTGTAAAATTATCTTTGTAATTGATGAATTCAAATCTTTTTGGATTAAATTATATGGAAGAGATCGCTTTTGGTAGTTCTCATCTCTCCAAATTTATTGAAATTTTTTTTTTCCTATATCTTTATTCTTATACATTGAAGTCAAAGTAGGTTTTTTTAAACACTTCACCTCATTAGTCCTAGCCTCGGCAATTAAAATTTTTTTAAAAATATTTTGCAAATAACCTATATCATAAATCATCAGTACTGATAGTGGCTTTTGGAACGCGTACATTAATTGAAAATTATGCTTAAGATTCCAAACCCGCTCAAGATGCCTATTTCTGAACAACAGCCTCGTATCACCAAGATAGAGCGGCCAACTCCGGGAAAAAGACTTAATCCCTTGAAAATATCCATGATTCAACCACACAGAACAGTGGCGAAAAACAACCCAAATGTAACTGAAGATCTTAAAAGCCGGTTGCAGGTTCTTCAGAGGCGAGTCAAGGAGTGGAAAGCTACAAACAATGTCTAAGATACAATGTAAAGCTGGGGAGTTTGCAGAATAAACTTTTAGTAACTAATTGGACTATCAAAAGGTTTTGTTTTAATTCTCTAGCATTATTAGGAGATTTTTAATTTGAATTTCGCTTTTTAAACTTTTTCATTTTGCTAAGGGTATAGAAAATTGACACCGAAGTCATCAACCTTAACCTCAACTGCAACCTCACCTTAGGTTAATGATGTGTTTGTTAGGTCAAGCATTTGTAGCATTAGGACAAAGCTTGATTTGTTTTATCGCTAATCTAACGTAGTTCCTAAAAGTCAACAGCGGAGTCATTCCAAGTGACCCACTTTGCAGGGCGAACTCGCAGCAATCAATAGTGTGTTTATTGCTATGGCTTCGTCATAAGGTGGTTGTGTTCTTAACGATTAGAAGCTCAACGACCAGTCACTTGAGTTTTAGACCTCGGTTGAAAGGTATCATATGGAGCGCTGGTGCAACAAAGTGGCCGTGGTGAGCGGAGCCAGTGCCGGAATTGGTGCGGCTTGCACCAGGACTCTAATCGGGGCAGGAATGGTAGTTGTGGGCCTGGCAAGGCGACAGGAGCGAGTGGAGCAGCTCCGGAGTGAACTGAGTCCCGAACAGCAGTCCCGGTTGCATTCAATCAAGTGCGATATTACACAGGAGGATCAGGTACTGAAGGCTTTCGATTGGACAAGCCGGAATTTAGGAGGTGTGGACGTGTTGGTGAGTAATGCCGGTATTATAGGCACCGGAGAACTCAGTGAACGGAAGGACGGTGCCGCTATGAGGTCCACCATAGAGACAAACATCATGGGCACCGTTTACTGCATCCGCGAGGCCTTCCATTCGATGAGAAATCGGGGATCCGAAGGTCACGTGGTCATTGTGAATAGCGTGGCGGGTTTCCAGGTGCCCAACCTTGGTCCCCAGCTCCCTTCGCTTAATATCTATCCGGCCACCAAGTTTGCCCTTCGCGCCATGAACGAGATCTACCGACAGGAGTTCCAGCGACACAAGACCCCGGTTAGGGTTTCGGTTAGTCCTAAGTTTCTTAGGAAGCAATGCATAATTTATACTACTTTAATAGACCGTAAGTCCCGGCATGGTTGATACGGACATCCTACCGGACCAGATACAGAATGTTGTCAAACAGCACATGCCCATGTTGCGAAGTATTGACGTCGCTGATGCGGTTATGTGGGTTATCGGCACTCCGCCTAACGTTCAGGTAAGTTCCATGTGGTGACGTGTTCTATGTAACCAACCATTTTGTTGTTAAACTTTAAATTCTGTTGTTAAAATGCTTTAACTCATGATATTAACAATAAATTGATACTAGTGATATCGCATCACGTGTTACTGATATTATTAAAATTACCATCATATCTTAACATTACAGGTCCAAAACATAACCATCAAGCCTCAAGGTGAAAAGTTCTAGTCCGGTCTATAATTTAGAAAAATGCAATCGACAACAAAAACGTTTTACCCAATAATACAATATTGTTCAATAAAAGGAAAGGAATAAAAAGAGTTTGCCATATTTTAAATATTTCTTAAAATGGATTTATTTTATATATAGTTCAGTCATATTTTTTGCTAGGGTAATGAATCATCTATCTTTAATATGGGTAGCTGCTTTGGTGTCTTAATAACATTTTCGGAATAAGACTAAAAAATTGGTCCACTAACCATTTCTCGGCGAGTTCAAATCCCCAATTGCGGATCTTACCCCACTGCAAACCCCATTATCCACCTTCATTTCTGTTCTCTCTGGCAAAGACTCTCCACATCGTTTTCAGAGTGGATTTAAGAGAGCTTCGGCTTGAAGGACTCGAAGTTGTGTTTTATACGGTCCTTTACCATATCGTTCCGAAGCGGTTTCGAAATGCTCAGCACCGCATCCTGGCGATTCAGTTGTGTGGAGCCAGTCGCTCTGTAAACATCGTCCTTTATTCGCTGTGGGCCCTTTTTATCATTTCGCTTCATATTTTGCATCATTCGCCATCTGTTGTCGCGTGCATCTGTTGATTGTGTTTTTACAAAAGTCATTGAGTACGAATTGCATACCCTTGCTTTCGTTTTTATGTCAGATAATTCCATTTTACAAGACTCAATACCAACTTTTCAAAATTGTGACAAATTAACTATATTTTTATATAGTTTTTGTTTATATACTTTCAATCTATATTTAAATCAGTCTACATCAGATGTTTTAAAAATCCTGTCCGCAGGGTGGGAGACATTTGTATACCTACTCCGTCAGTTTTAAAGATATATGCCTGGAACTTTCCCGAATATCTTATTTTTATTGCAGGTAGTATATAACACGAAGGAGAAGGGATTGTAAAACTTTATATTAAGTCTGGGTATATACAAATTGCGGTATTACCCTAAACCTGAAATCAATAAAGTATAATTTTTGGACTCAGATTAAAAGAACGTAGTTTTAAAAATATATTTTTATATTGTAGGTACCTGTCTCTGTACCTCTACCAGTAATTATTCTTTTGTTCATACCTGTGTCCCACGATATCGTTAAGAAACTTAATTTAAATGCACATATTACATTTAGTCCAAGCTGACCAACCGTTCAACTGGAGTTCCCGCGTCACATCATTTGATTTCGTTGGAAACTCCTTTTATTAATATTCATGGAAGCTGAAAAGTTTTTCGGTTATTTATTTAATGGGTACTGGATTCCGCTGAGTCCATTGAGGATTTTCATGGGTCTGTGCTTAAAGAAGCGGGTTGTACCGTGTGCATACGTTTAAATTACAACGCGCCTTTCGTGTTTTTATAAATTATTCAGGGTAATCGTAGTCCCATTGCGTTAAGTTTGCGAGCAAAAGTTTTAATCGAATTGTTTAGGATATTTACATAAACAGATTTTGTTTTTTTTTTAAATATACCTTTGACTTCGACTCGATTAGATAAAGAATAAATCAATGAAACATATCTTAAAAATATTTTTATTCAACGAGAACTAGAGAAAATTTAAGGAATTAAAAAGAAAAGCAATAAATTTCAAGGCTTAAAAAAACACGTTGTTCGCTCCAACAATAAAATTCAAATAGAATTAACCATAAATAAATGCTTAGCGGCTAATTTGGCAATGTAAGCCTAAATTTTAAATATATTAGCCTATTTCCATATAAATTAGCGTAAGCCCCGTCAACGATAAGGCAATTAATGTGTGGAGAGCTGCAAGCCGCTATGCAAATGGTCATATGTTAAACGCCAGCCACCGAAGTGACATCGATGCGAGATTATAACTCAGGGGAGGTCCGCTCCTGTGTTCGATGGCAATTCGAGTACTATTAAAAGCCATACCGATGAACCTCTGTTCCCATAAATCATAAAGGAGCGCTTTCTCCGTGTCTACCACAGCCTTAGACCTTGCCTTTATTGTTTTGAAATTTATGTCCTGGAGTGGCACTCCGTATCCGGCATTGTCTTGGTTTGGTTAACTTTGGTCCAGAACTCCTGGTTTTGAGGGATATGAAAATTAATTTGGAAGACAATTTTTATTTGATTTTGTATTTTGCCTATTGTTTTAGTGATTAAATATGAAGGCATTCATTAATAAGATAGCATCATAAGCTTGCATGAAGTTGTGAACATCAATCGATTAAGATTTTTGAAATCTGTATACGAGCTTCAGTCTGCTGCCTTTCGAGACAATACCTGGTACACTACGTTTGTGTGCATATAATAAATTCACAGGATAAACGGAGCTGACGTCATTGACTTCACAACAAAGACAAACGGATTGAATGGAGAGGGTGCATTCAGGACACTTGCCTTGATGACAGGCTGGCTTTACACCCACTGCGTTGGGCTCAATTCATTCAATCAAGTTAAATAGAATCGGTTGGAGTTTCTGGAAGCATCAGCTGCAACCTTATTGTCTTCTTGGTTATATATAAAGTGCGTGGATCAAGAATCAATTTTTTAAGGAGAGTCTTGATAAATACCTATAATGATACGACCTATATTACAAAATTTACATAGAGGATTTGATTCTTATTACATATCTTAATTTAATATATAATCTTAGTATACTAAATGGGCTCTGTTCGGAAAGTTCTCATAGATTTCAAGGAAAGTAAGATATTAATAATCTAAAAAGATATTAGCATCGTTTATTTAAGACAATTATGGCCAAATAAAGTAACATGACAAAATAGCATAAACTTGGAGTAAAATAAATTGGAAATTCTATGTGAGAAAAGCCTAATTGAATTCTCCCAGCCATATTCTGGTAAAATAAATTCTGTTAAAATTTCAGATTACGAAAACAAGGATGTTTATGGCACACAAGATTTCAATAAATAATGGTTGATTCGGCAGCACATAATTTGTGTGGCCTGCACAAAATTCCCTGACTCTTCTCATGGCCGCTCGCAACGTCCGCACCACGGCTCATATGCTTTTCATTTTCATTGGTTATTTGTCGCTTGAGTTGTTTTTCGGCCATAAAGATTATAATCTTTGTATGCTGTATGGACAACAACAATAACAATAAAAAAGGAATTTGTTATACTATACCCAAAGCTCTGAAGGAATATTTTCCAACCAAATCGGATGAAATTTCTTTTAGGATGATGAAAGAAAATTCGGGGAAATGGTAAAAGATAGTGGAGCATAAAGTTTATCTCGCATAAACAAACATAGAGGCACTTTGGAGAATGTTTCTCATCGATGATTGTATACATTTAAGCGTACCTAATAGTTAAAATATTGCCCTTACCCAGTAAATGCTTTACAAATAAATGCCATGTGTTTTAATTTGCGTAAATTTTGTTCTTTATTTTATAAATTTTGTTTTAACATTAATCTAATTATATATAATTTTGAATTGGAAGTTTTTGGTGACTCGATTTTTTCTCCTAATATCATTCTCTGGAGGATTTTTTTAAGATTCCAGTAACGGAAATCTTTTTATAAATTGGATGACATCTTCCGACTGGCGATTTATACGTTCGGCTCGTAGCTTTCGGTCATTGGTTATGTCCCTTAAAAATGTGGACCAGTTCGAGGCGAGATTTGGCAATTTCTCAATAGATATCTCAATTGGTGTCATCGTACAGTTCTTAGAATTCTTCGGCTGTCCAGCGGAGGAATTTTCAGCAGATGAAACGTTTACGACATTCGTCATTTTTAAATACTTTGAAATGATGCGATGGGGAGAAACTCTTGACGCAGAATGATTTGCAACCATCCGTGCATTGCTTTATATAGATCTAAGCAGGTAAATTTATATATCTTTCCTTCATAGCTCTTCCCTTTGGTGCAGGTAGAGCCCGTGGAAAACCCCACGGATCCAAATCCATACCTAGAAGGGTACAGGTATGGTAATGCCATCTGGAACAGAAAGCCTGCTAAATAATCTCCTAACAGATGTACGGGTCTAATAATGTCATAAAAGCCATATTAAAATATACCCAACAAGAGCTACCTATGATTTACTAAAATAGAATCTTCTGAAGATATACCAAAAAAGAACAGGCATTCAAATTGTTCTTTTATAGAAGGGTCAAAATTTTAGCCCATTTTCATGTTCGATTTTTTCGTATTTCCAATGGTCTCCAGAATGGGACCCAAAACTGAAGTTCCAAATTTCATAACTTCGGTAATTGAATCCCGACTTAGACGTGGGATACCTCTATGAATTCGTGGTTGAATTCTCTAATATACTGCATTCAAATATTTCTTTTATAGGAGGGTCAAAATTTTAGCCCATTTTCATGTTCGATTTTTTCGTATTTCCAATGGTCTCCAGAATGGGACCCAAAACTGCAGTTCCAAATTTCATAACTTCGGTAATTGTATCCCGATTTAGACGTGGGATACCTCTATGAATTTGTGGTTGAATTCTCTAATATTCTGCATTCAAATATTTCTTTTATAGGAGGGTCCAAATTTTAGCCTATTTTCATGTTAGATTTTTTCGTATTTCCAATGGTCTCCAGAATGGGACCCAAAACTGAAGTTCCATATTTCATAACTTCGGTAATTGGATCCCGATTTATACGTGAGATACCTCTATGAATTCGTGATTGAATTCTCTAATATACTGCATTCAAATTGTTTTTTTATAGGAGGGTCAAAATTTTAGCCTGTTTTCATGTTAGATTTTTTCGGATTTCTAATGGTCTCCAGAATGGGACCCTAAACTGCCGTTCTAATTTTCATAACTTGGGTAATTGGATCCCGATTTAGACGTGGGATACTTCTATAAATTTGTGGTGAAATTCTCTAACATACTGCATTCAAATTGTTCTTTTGTAGGAGGGTCCAAATTTTAAACTATTTTCATGTCCGATTATATCGGATTTCCAATGGTCTCAAGAATGTGACCCAAAACTGCCGTTCTAAATTTCATAACTTGGGTAATTGGATGCCGATTTAGACGTGGGATACCTCTATGAATTCGTGGTTAAATTCTCTAATATTCTGCATTCATATTGTTCTTTTAGAAGAGGGTCAATATTTTAGCCTATTTTCATGTTTGATATTTCCAATCACTTTCCTATTGAAAAAAGGAATGACTCTCTCATCCGCGGTGTTTAAAAGAAACTGATGTCCATTGTTTATTTTTTGATATCTTGACTTCTTTAAATAGTTGTGTGCAGGCAAAAGTATTTTGGAAGGTGGGTAAGTTGTTTGATATACTGGAACAACCACATAAATTTACAGCTTAAGATGGATGGAATTCTTTCAGGCATGCAACACATTTTTTTCCACGACGCTATCATTTTTATTGTTTTTATTTTTTGTCAGAATATTCATACGCATTCCATTCCAGCATACTGTCGCCTGCGAAATTGAGCAATTTAATTATACTCGTATGGAAAAATAATGATGCTGCCTGTGCACATTCCCTGGAAAGGTAAACATTGACATCCAATGAAGGCTTCAAACTGCCGGGCGACAATTGCAATTAATTGCATATTTTAAGCCATTCCAGATTGGAACCGCAGACACCGTGAACAACAACAATTGCTCTACAAAAAGAAAAACAAGATATATATATGTTTAATGTCCATAATAAAATGTAAAAACAAAAGGATCGGCTTGGCCGTTATCAAAGGAAAGAAATTAATTGGTCTTTATGCCAAAAATTAACAATTATGACAATAAAATGCATTCTGTTTATTATAGGAATACCCAAACTGTAATTTTAAATTAATCGTGGCAATAAAAGTTTTAAAATAAAGCTTTAAAGGCACCAATGCACATTTCTGAAATCATCCTTAATTTTTAGAAGGGAAAGAAAATGTACTGTACGAATTTTTATAAAATTAAAGTTTGTTTAGTTTTTGTGGGCCCCAGATAAAACGAGTCCTCGCACACAGGCTGTGCAATTGCCTATCTCATTTTCCCACACAATTTTTGGAGAGTCCTCTACGTGAATATTCGCGACTTTTACAACTTTTTGGGGAGGCCCAAAAACAGGAAACAAATAACAGATCGTAAGGGAACTCAGGAAAGGAATCATAGCCAACTTGGCGTGTGTGTGCCACTTGACAGTCGTTTAAATGCATTAAAATATTACCTTCTTCAACAGGAGCAAAACAAAACAGTGGCAAGGGCAAACATGACATCCGCCAAATTTTCACATGCGATAGACTTTTGGAAAGTCAGGGCAAATGGGAATGGAGGAATGGAGGTCTATGGGGATGTTACGCCCACTAGCAGGCCGGGAAAAATCAAATCATCAGCCAAGGACGCGCCAGCCAATGACTACAACAATGGTGAAAGGATAACTTTGGCGTGGCTGTCTGTCTGCCCGGACAGGAAAAGGGTTTGCCACAGTGTTGCAGAGGAAAGGGCCGAAATGACTGAGTCGACTAGTTAACACAAATTGAAATTTTTGAACCAGCAGACCGAAAAATAGGAATGCTAGATTAAAGCTGTTGGCCACGTTCCTGTTTTCGAATACTTTGTAAAAGATTTCAAGCTACATTTTCATGAAATTTTCGTTTTCATTACCTGTGTAATTTTAAAAATATTGATATAATCTAAACATTTTCGTAACTCTAAATTAAGGATTTTTGCGAGCCTCTTATAATTGTAAGGTGGTTGAAAAAAATTTCCCACATATATGAATTTGTTCACTTATGTATATTTAAACTAATAAATGCCGAATACAATGTCCTTGAAAGAAAGAGATTACAAGGCACCTTGTAAATTTGATAGGACTTAAGTACTCCATGCGAACCAGAACCAACTGAAAGATTGAAGCTACCGAAACTGAGCGGAAGAAAAATAGAGGAAGCACTAGAAGAGAAGGGCGGAATCGGGAGTGGCCGCCGGAAAACAAAATATTCATGAACACAGCAGTCTTATAAATAAATTTCAGGCCCCAACACAGAACCCATCATTGGCACTTCCACCCCTAACCTCAGTCACACCCACATCGCCAGCCTCGTTGTCCTCTGCCGCTGCATCGTCTGGTGGCCACCAAAAGTGGGTAAGAAAGTGGCATTGGAACGGCTCGAAAAACTTAAAAATATGCTAGATGAGAAAGAGAGAAAGGGTAGCAGAGCATCAAGCTTTTATGATGGTTCGATTTCGTGGAATTAGCAATGAGCAAGAATTGCAACAGGATGGAAGCAGTAAGAGGTCGACCATTTGCCACCGAAAAGTAGTCGCTTATGCAAGAAGCGAATTTTTAATAATACCAGCGAGGTTGGCCAAGGACTCGGAATGCTGGCAAATGGCTGTAGAGTGGCGAATACATAATGCAGCGGCCATCAGGGTACAACCAGTAAATACACTCGGCAGAATAGGTTCAGTATCGCAACTCTGCGAAGGGGGCCTTAAACAATAAGTGGGGCACTTCCAGAAATGAACAAGCTTACATGTTCCCAAATATGACTCAGTTTTTAAATCCCTCATTAGTGTGCCTCCTAAGAGGATTTAAAAGCTAACTTAGTTGTGTAGTACCTATAGATACAAAAAGATCAGTATTACTAAATCTTAAAAAAAATATTTTGTTTATTATTTTTATTTCTAATTACCTTAATAAAATAAGCATCAGGACTAATAAATCTAAATAAAAAATTATTAACCTATTGTAAATCTTTTATAAAACCTTTTTCCAACTCCAATCAGTGTAAATCAAAGTGAACGTGTCAAATCCATTCTAATTAATTTAAGCCATTGACATTGACAGGAAATCCCGATTATGTGCAGTTTGCCGAACTTTCAACTCCAGTAAGGGATCGTTAAGTGAAGAGAATCGTCAGCCGGAGGCGGTTGGCGACAAAAAGCCATAAAATAAATTATTTCAAGAATCAATTACAACTAATAGCACAGACCAGCTGGAAACCAATTTAATTCACTTGAGCTGCATACGTAGCGCGTTTGCCAAAAGGACGAAAGGGGGGTTTCAAAATTGAGGACCCAGTGGTCCCAATGCCTTCCGTTGATTTCCAATGTCTCCGGGTGGGTGGATATGTTCGTTCTCGGGTCTGGCCGCCTTGGGTGTATGTATGTAAATCACATATGCGATGATTTAAGCCAATGCATAATTGATTGTAATGCCTGGGAAGCCGATTTCGGTTTGCATAAGCACAAGGCCAAGCACAGCATCCAGTTTTCGGAAATTAGCCTGTTTTCATGTGGCCCGGGGTGGGGTGCAAGGGTTATTTGAAAGCTTTCCTTTGTAAATTGACCAAATACTAATCAGTGACTTGGTCCAGTTGAAGTACGGCTGTGGAACTTGGAAATAAAAATTACGATTAGGAGTGGTTAACCATCTTGACCTGAGCTTGTCAGTCATTGAAATGTTCATGGTAGTATGCTCATTACAAATTGTATAGTATACTATATTAATGCTAGGAATATAACGAATTGACCTAAGATCCACTACGAAAAAACTGTTTCTCCGACCATGTTTGTTTCTTTAATGCTTTAAAGAAAAGTATGAAAATCATTTAGAAAGAAGATTAGTCAAACTCTGCCTAACGCAGTTTAGTTTTATATCTTTTATTCCTCCCTCTGGAGTTAGTGTCAAAGTTTACCAGGATGCTGGACATGCTTGGTTTAGGAAGGAGAGAAAAACCTGGCTAAAAATACGTTACGGCTGGCACGTGAGATGGAAAATTCATAGATAAAAACAACTTTTAATAGTCAAAAGAATAAAATACCCTAGCCCAAAGCTATTATATCTTTACTTCTAATTGTTGAACTTTATGGAATAATTTAAGCTGAAGATCTTTTGATTTTTGCCCAGATTAGAAATACATCTTTTAAGGGAGGC